ACCACCGTATCATTGCAATCACGTGTTATTAAGGCAGCCCTCTGCAACCCTTCCACCTGAAGCTTCAACTTCGGAAACAGCATTTTGTCCTTCTGAGGCAGCCAAGTGGCAGATCGTGCTTCAGATGCTCCGTGACCTACCCAGCTTAGCATTTCCACACCTTGGACCTGCCATCAAGATACTCCGTCCCCAGCACTGCAGCGACTTTCCTTTTTTCCGCCAGGTGACCTACCTACCATGCGGCTTCAGCCGGACTGCACAAATGTCCATCGCCTAAACTAGATGTGACCCCCAGCAGCAGCGTGCGCAGGATCGGATCACATTTACTTCATGCATCGGTGCCGTTCTCTGTCACCCAGCACAAGCTGTAAGGATGGGTCTGGGGAGGGAAGACGAACAGTGTGAGGTGCTTTGGAGACGATGAGCTTTTGGCGTGCAGTGCTGGGGTTGATGGAGGAGAGAGACCGCTAAATCCCCTTTCAAGCGCGATAAAGACATGGTGACATGGCGGAGAAGTGTACAGGAGATGAAGACTTTCACCCTGCAGGCTGCCTGATGTGTTCAACTCAGACCTAGAGTCATGCCCTCGCTACGATACTAAGCGAGACTTGTTCCAGGCTGACGTTGTCAACCTGTCTGGCGTGCTGAGTGCTCTGGAAAAAGGTCACAAGTCAGCAGCTCAGTGTTCTTGGAGTGCTGGGTTTCTGCTGTGCTTCCCAAAAATTGCAATCCCAAATGGTTCGCCATGCTGCAGTAACTCATGCCATCTCATGCCTAGGTGGAAGAAGGCACTTGCTTTGCTTTCCAGCATGACCATGCAGTCGTGATGGCCCAAGTCCATTGCCCCCGCAGTGCCCCCGCCTGCCTTGAGTGTCAGAGTCACAGCATTCGGGGTAGAAAGGCTTCGGCCATCTACCATCAGTTACTCTGCGGTCATCAGCGCCTGTGAGAAAGGCACAGACATGTTGCAATGCATCCACGCAGGTCGAATCCATGATGCTGCCTGTCTTGGCTGCATGCTTTCCTGGGCACTTAACCAGCCTTGGGTGTTGGCTCCCCTCTGCATCACTACACGACGCTCAGGCAGGGTAACTTCAGCATTTGCAGTCTTTCCTGCCGCAGGTCAGTGCTGGGAGCAGGCTTTGCACTTGTTCCAGCAGGCGCAGAATGCAGTAGGCCCTGCTCACCAGATGCTGGTTGAACAGCAGCACTGTGACAATGCAGGCGTGCGAGCTGAAGATTTCCGTGGACGTTGCAATGGTTAGCGCAGCGATTGCAGCTTGCGATATCGGTGGTCGTGGGAGACTTATGTAGCTCGAATTTCTTCCAAGATTCCGCTCCTGAGCGGAGGCTGGCAGGCAGCGCTTGGTTTGCTTCAGGCCGCGCGTACCGATTCAATCCAGGCACCAGCTGCACCTGTGAAAAACGGTCAGAGTTGTGGAGTTGTAGCGGTAGCGCCAGTGTAGTGCCATGCGCAATGCAGGGTTGTGCAGTGCTGTCCAATGCCTGCATCAGCGCATGTGGCAGTTCGGGCCCAAGATTGCGAGCTTTGTGGGATTGCTTGGTCAAAAGCGGTCACAGTACCGTCATCTCCGCTTACTGGCCGGTAAACCTTACCTGTAACGCCTAAACTTGTATTTCATGCTTGCAATAGCTAAGCAGAAATCAAAGGCACTGGCTCTGTTGTTGTGGCCTCCGGCAAGGATCTTTGCAGTGGGAACTCGTGCTCTCCATGATTGAAGCAAAGGCAAAGGGGTCTTCATGTTGCGTGGCAGCACCAGAGCTACAAAACAGTGAGAAACAGCGAGGTTTGCATCGATGAAGTCGGCCACAACTGTGCCGTCCAAGCCTGCGCGGCAGCCCGGAGGCCGGAGGTGATTCGTCCTGTCGAGCTGCTTAGGTTCCAACATGTTGTGGAGCCTGTGTCGTTGCACAGCGCTTCTGGACAACAGCAAATGACAACAGCTGAGCGCAGACAGAAGGACTCGCATGAAGTGCGTGGACTGCGATGATGACGCGAGGAAACGTGAGGCATCTCTTGGCTAACTCACTGTTCCCTTCACTTCACACTGCGACCCAGTTCAAGGTGGGATTTGGCCAGGACAGAGAGGTGGGCAATTTGTGAAGCCTACGCTGGTTCAGTTTCAAAAGCTTACGCGGGTGTTTTACGCAAGCTTGGAAAAGTACTGGCAGCTTCCGCGGCAGGTTTCTTTAGAGCTCAACACCTTTCACGAGCTTCCGCGAGAGCATGCGGCTAGTCCTCTCTGTTGGTCCACCAATTCAAAACTCAGATTCCTGCATCAACTAGTTTCCAGATTTGAAAGAACTTGCTGGGCGAGCAACGGCTGTCAGGCCTGGCTACATGCCATGGGCTTCCCAAGCTTGCATCGGGCTTCGCAATATCTTCTGCAGCAGGCTTTCGAAAGCTTTCGCATCGCAGGCCCCGGTTTATTCGAACACAATGAAGCTGAACGCTGCTCTGCAGAGGTTCCTAGTTTCAACATATGAGGGTTGTTCTAAAGGT